TCTCTCTCTCTCTCTCTCTCTCTCTCTCTCTCTCTCTCTCTCTCTCTCCCTGAGGCATTGAGTATACAATGGTCATTATTATACAGAAAGGAGGTGAACTGTCTTTCTCTGGATATCCCGTATCTTCGTTCCACGATGTTTGTTCGGAGAAATCTTTTGGGAAATGGTGTGCACAGGGATCATCTCGCATACATGCGGCTTGCATATTGTGGATGCCGCAGGGGTTGTGGATCATATGCGAAACCACCAATTCACGAAGAACGGGGTTTTGAGGAATTTCAGCAGAAATGATTGAATCGATTTGTTCAGGTGTGCTAATTTTGTATGGTTCCGGGAATGTGACAACCAAATGAGCGTGTGGGAGCCCTCGTTTTTGGAACTTGATAACATATATGTACGCAGCTGTAGGGTCGAAGATGTGTGTGTTATGTATATTGTGAATGAGTTGACGCAAGAAACCTTTAAACACGCGAGCAAGAAGGTCCGGTCGATCAGATGGTTGTTGGTTTGGGAAGAGTCGGTTTTGAATTTCATGTCAGTGTGAATTACATGTGATTGTAATGAAAAGGTCTGGTGGCCCGAACTCTTGAACGGCGGCCATGGAGTTTTGATAACGATGGTGCATGTCGCACGGGCCACCTATGAATGTGGCAGGGAGAACTATTCGTTGCCCAATGTTTTGTGCATTGTCGTATTGCATTAAGTGGTCATGGAGGTTTTGATAGAGGTTTGCACGGATTTCTGTTTGATGAAGGCGATTATATAGCAAACGACCATTCTCAATTTTTGCGAAAGCCATGCAAATGGATTCTTGGAAGAGATGCGAAGCAAAGAAGATTGTCGATCGCTCATTGTCGCAGGTGTTGAGGTGGAAGGCATAGATTCGCGGGCAATAATAGTGTGAGTAGCACGATCATCAGGGTTGTCTGTGCCTGCGCTCCAGCCATCTTCACCTGATGGAAACAACAAAACGTAATGTAACGGGTCGAATGCGCGATTTGTTTCTACAATAGGGAAAATGCCGCGAGTACCTCTCTCTTTGTGTGTGTGTGTGTGTGTGTGTGTGTGTGTATGTGTAGTTCGTGTACGTGTGGTCTAACGCAGAAGACATGTTCGATCGATAAAAAAAAAAATGAAAGCCACACACTCACGAGCGCGTCGCGGAGTATATATTTCGATGTTCCACGGGAAAATTCATTCGATCGAGGATAAAAAAGCCAGGGGGAAAAAAAAAACAGTCACTCGCATGTGCGATCCATTGGTCATCACTTCCTTTGTTTTCTATACACACACACACGAGTACCGATCGTCTAATGTGGAAGACATGCTCGATCGGCGCACACACACACACACGCACACACACACAAACACACACAAACAAACACACACACACACACACACACACACACACACACACACACACACACNAAACACACACACACACACACACACACACACACACACACACACACACACACACACATACAGACAATTGAACGTTGGCGGGACGGGTGATCGACTGAAGCTGGCGCAGCTGGCCTCGTGGGAATGAGAATTCCCCCCCCACCTTTTTTCCCGTTTCTTTCTCAATTTTTCCTTTTTCCTCCCCCGTTTTTTCTTTTCTTTTCTTTTCTCCTTTCCTTTCCTTTCTCTCTTTTTTTCATCCCCTTTTTTCTCTCTCTTTCTCTGTCTTGTTTTTTGTTCCTTTTCTTTTTTTCTACTCCTTTTACTCGTGACTATACACACTTCGATTTGTCGCGTTGTATCATTTTCAGAGGAGAACAATGAGATACGACCCCCCTGGATAGGACCAAGGCTCTTCTCTAATCGAAGGGAGCTGCCCCCCCGACTCCGGAAGTCGGAATAGGCACAGATAGACCTTGGGAACGACGCGTCCTCAGGGCGGGAAAAAGTAAGACTAGCCATGAACCAATATTAGCGATCCTTTGTTTTGTCCTTCGCTCTTCTTTCCTTTTTTTCTTTGTCCTTCCTTTTTTTTTTTTCTTCTTTTTTCTCTTTTTCTTTTTTCTTTCTTTCTTTTTTCTTTTTTTCTTTTTTCTTTTTGATTACGGCCGAAGGATTGCTGCAATAAACGGAGTGATAGGTGAAGAGGCTTTCATTAGAAGACCACGATCCCCGGTGGAGAACGGACTATATTAGGACTTGGCGCTGACGGTACTGTTCATCGGTCCACCGTGCAATAACCGGTTCTGACAAGTAGTAAGGCACGGTGCGTTCCGGTTCTGCGGGAGCTTGGTGTGGCGACGTGCGACATGGACTTCTTCGCCGACTGGGACCAGGTGGAAGAACAACTGGAGGCGGAAGAAGTGGTAATGATCCGGGTGTGAGGCTCTCTCATCATCATTTTTTGCCGCCCTGACCGCACCTCGGCTCTGCGCCATGCAAACCGACGCGATATGCCACGCCGGGCCTACCCTGCTCTTCCCAGGCTCGTTCACGCCCACGCTTAGCACCTTCCTAGGTCTGCTGCTCCTCCTCGCCTTGCTCCCTAACCTCGCCATAGCAAGCCTGCTTTCTGCCGCCTGCCTCTCCGAGAGGGTGTTTTTGTGCACTTCTTCTAGGAACTTTGCATTGCTGATTGCGTGCACCATCGGCTTCATCTCCTTGTTTCTGACTTGCTGTTGCTGCCTATTCTTTACGATTGGTGCCGCTCGCGGACTGCACGTACTGATTGAGTAGCACACGGAGTGGACGATGGAATCGAAGACAGCAGCGGGGACGTCTCCTCACACTTTTTTGAGCTTTCTTATCCTTCCTATCCTTTCTCTCTTTTCTTTTCTTCATCTACTCCCTCCCTTCCCCCCTTCCGCTTGAATTTTGTCCCTCCCTCCCCCCCTCCCCAACTTTCTTCCCCACCCCCATAACCACCTCCCCTACCCCCGGGCCCTCGCCGCGCCCCCCCTCGCCCCACCGCGCCCCCTCCACCTTCCAAAGACCATGGAAGATGTCCCCCCTCTGATGA